ACAGAAAAACACGTGAAATCCTCTTTAAATGGCGTTGAAAACTCTTTTAAAATAAAAATACTTAAAAATATTAATGAGTTGGTAAATATTTTCCTGTGGAATTTAMCATTCTTCATTGTTTAATGAAACACAATGTAACACAGAGTTCACTAACGTGGAAACTCTTATTACTGAAAGACMGCTTCAGACATGACATGAACTTGTCAAACCTCTTAATCCACTTCAGGGGTTTCTTTCAGTCTTGTCAATCATAAAGAAATCTCTGGATTGTTTGTAAGTTTTTTTAATTGTTATTCCAATGTGTTGCTGCTGTCAGACCTATGAATATATTTTATTAATATCATAAAAAGTAGAAAAATAAATTTAGCGCAAGAAAGAAATATGTGTTTGGTAGATTGTTTTTTTTTTGTTTGTTTGTTTTTTGTAAAAATGCTTGTTGGTAACAAATCTTATACTGTTGGAAAGCTGGAAATGTTCCTTATTTTCAAGAATTTTAATTGTCTTTTAATATTGGCAGATTATTTCACTTAATTTGAGTCTGAATCTTTTCARTTTTCTCAAATTAAGTGAAATAATCTGCTATTGGAATAARACAGTAGCAATTCACGAAACAAGGAAACTTTATTTAATAATATACCACATTCTTCTTCCTTAGTATATCAGTCTCAAAACAAGATTTAAATAGTTTTTGGCTGGATATAACATTGAAAGACTTAGTTAGATGAACAGTGTTTGCAGTGTAGCCTCCGACGTGCTGTTTTTGAGCTAATTCTAAATAAATTAAGATTGCACATAATTTACTAATCATTGTATTTGTGATCCATCGCATTAAACCAAGGGTTAAGAAGAGGCAGCAATAGTGCATTAATAGAAAAAGCTGTAATAATGGGATTTAGTCAAAATATGATATGTTGTGGGACTTTTCAAAAAAAAAAAACCTTGAGTACACAATAGTCTAATGCTTTCTATTTTATTTAGTCTGTTTCTGAGAAAAGCCACATTATCCTTTATTTCTTTTTAAATGAGTTTGAGGAAATGCATGCATACAGATGGACTTTTCCCCTCATTTTCCTTTTTCATGTGTTCTCTTGAAACACGTGCAGCTTCACGTGTGTTAGTGTTTCTAGGACTCGAGCACACCGCTGTGGATGCAGAAGTGTAACACTAACCTGAAAATAGCAAAAGRCATCCACGCTTGTTTATTTATTTTTATTTTTTTTACGCTGCCACTACTTTTAGTCTGTGAAACTATAATTAGGACAAACAAACGAAGAACATGAGGGGGAGACTGGTGGAGATCAGCCATCTGTGCTCTGCTAAATATTTTTAAGAAAAACTATCATTGCCAATCCCAAAGATGCTGCACAGACAGCTAGTCCTGCTCTCGTTTATTTATGCTAAKTATAAAGTGTCGCTGTTAATTTGCCAATCACGTCAGGAAAAAGAGAATGCTGAGTTTTTATAATAAAGCCCGGTTGTCTGCGACGGCGCTGCCCTGACTGTTGATGGGAGAACGTTTGGGTGATGACTCAGCCGAACTGTCTGTGATGCCCTGACACCTGTGTGACAGACTGAGGTCACCTCGCTGCCTGTTTATAACACTGAGAGGCAAAGACTCAGACTGGAGTCGTCGCTCTGTGCCCACACAGAGCTGAGGCTGCAGTACGGTGATTACAACTCCCAGCCAGACCCATTAAATCTCCATCTTTGTGCCACTCTGCTGACCTTCTGCAGACAGAACATGCACACACATACAGCGGGTAAAAAAAATATTGAACACATCATCATTTTTCTCAGTAAATATATTACTAGAGGTGCTAATGACATGAAATTTTCACCAGATGTYGGTAACAACCCAAGTGATCCATACATACAAAGAAATCAAACCATAAATGTCCAGAAATGAAGTTATTTGTAATAATGTGGAATGGCACCGGGAAAAAGTATTGAACACATGAAGAAAGGGAGGTGTAAAAAGGCATGGAAAGCCAAGACACCAGCTGAACTCTCTCAGTAATTAGAAAGCAAGCCTGCCCCTTGTCAGTGCAAATTAATATCAGCTGGTTCAGTCCCAAATGATGGCCAGGTATCACACAAGAACCATCTGATGATGGGTAAAAGTAAAGAGCTCTCTCAAGACCTTCACAACCTTATTGTTGCAAAGCATAATGATGGCATCGGTTACAGAAGAATGTCTAAACTTCTGAAGGTTCCAGTGAGCACTGTTGGGGCCATAATTCAGAAGTGGAAAGAACATTATTTCACCATAAACCGACCACGACCAGGTGCTCCTCACAAGATTTCTGACAGAGGAGTGAAAAGAATTATCAGAAGAGTTGTCCAAGAGCCAAGGACCACTTGTGGAGAGCTTCAGAAAGACCTGGAATTAGCAGGTACGTTTGTTTCAAAGAAAACAATAAGTAATGCACTGAACCACCATGGCCTGTATGCACGCTCACCACGCAAGACTCCACTGCTGAAGAAACAGCATGTTGAAGCTCCTTTAAAGTTTGCTGCACAACATTTAAACAAGCCTGTGTAATACTGGGAGAATATAGTCTGGTCAGATGAGACCAACATTGAACTGTTTGGATGCCAGAAAACACATCATGTTTGGAGGTCAAATGGCACTGCACATCAGCCCAAAAACACCATACCAACAGTGAAGTTTGGAGGTGGGAACATCATGGTGTGGGGCTGTTTTTCAGCATATGGTACTGGCAAACTTCAAATAATTGAAGTAAGGATGAATGGAAAAATGTACAGAGACATTCTTGATAAAAATCTGCTTCCATCTACCAGGATGATGAAGATGAAACGTGGCTGGACATTTCAGCAAGACAATGAGCCCAAACACAAAGCCAAGGAAACTCTCAGTTGGTTTCAGAGAAAGAAACTAAAGCTGCTGGAATGGCCCAGCCAATCACCTGACCTGAATCCAACAGAAAATCTATGGAAAGAACGAAAGATCAGAGTTCATAGAAGAGGTCCACGAAACCTTCACGATTTGAAGACTGTTTGTGGAAGAATGGGCCAAAATCACACCTGAGCAATGCATGCCACTAGTTTCTCCATACAGGAGGCGTCTTGAAGCTGTCATTGACAACAAAGGCTTTTGTACAAAGTATTAGATAAATTTTAGTAAGCGTGTTCAATACTTTTTCCCTGTGCCATTCCACATTATTACAAATAACTTCATTTCTGGACTTTTTTTGATTTCTTTGTATGTATGGATCACTTGGGTTGTTACCAACATCTGGTGAAAATTTCATGTCATTAGCACCTCTAGTAATATATTTACTGAGAAAAATGATGACGTGTTCAATACTTATTTTACCCGCTGTATGTATGGAAATGGTTAAATATGTCTCTGGTAACTAATTCTTCTGCTGTTTTCTGATTCTCCTCTTGTTGCAGGGCTTCTGCACTTGGCTTGCATCTCTTTACCATATGAAGTAAGTTTACACAAAGTATTTTAGGCTCCTGATGTCACCATCTTATGTAAGTTCTATGCTATAGCAGCTTCAGCCTCAAAGTAAACTTGTCTGGGTTCACTTAACCACTGGTGCTGTGGGTTTTTCTGTAGGATATTTGCAGATTTGGACCTGTAAAAGTGTCCTTTTCACTGTATCCATGGCTTCCATAGTATTATGGTGGTTCTGTTTTTAGTTTCCAATGTTCGTGGCTCGCCCAAGGATTTCTGGGGAATTGCAAACCCACCCTGTGAGTTCGCAATGTGTGGGCTGCTGCGTGCACTTCTCCACTGCGTTTTGTTTTCTCCGTTTTATGACATTTGGTTTCCTGAACCTTTTGCCTGGCGACCACAGCTTTTCACAGCAAGCTCTCGGTGCCAGGGCTGGACTCATGATGAAACTTTAGGTGGCCTCGGTTGCTCAGATTTTTAATTAAGATTGCATTGTTTTAAATACCGCTGCCAAAAAAAGTTGGGACAGTCTGCAAAATAAAGATAAAAACAGAATGCAATGAATTGAAAAATATGTAAACCCATAATTTATCCACAAAGAAACACAATGAAAATGTTAAAAGTTGAAACAACGAAACAAAATTACCCAATTTTTTCCCAAAAAMGGACACAGTTTTTAAATTACATTATATTTAAAGTGCCTGTGACATCAACTTTTTCTAATAAATATGAATGCATTTTTGGAACCATAACATTGATAACATAATGCAAAGAATATTTTATACCACTGAGATGAACATTTGTAGAGATATTTGCATGTGCAGTAACAGGAAGTGATGCCAAWGGGGAATGTCTGAATGTAAACAGAGAATCACTACAATGGTCAACAGCAGAGACTGTAGAGWAGAATCTGATSTTTCTTTATATTATTTTGAGTCACTATCAAAGAGCGATAAAGAAGAGTCAGAGTTCAATAATACTGTTTTAATAAGCAAAGACCGGAGAGTTTCCAGTCTTAAAGAGTTCCTCTTTGATGTCACTTCCTGTTTCATTTTAGCTGAGCCAAATCTATAAAAAAAATGCCGTTATGTTACAAATTGGATAAAATCAAGTGTCTATTGCCAAGTTTTGGAAATACAAAGATGTTTTCTTTGACTTTTTGTATTTGAAGGATATATATGTCACAGGCACTTTAAAGTCGCTAATAAAACTAGAAAATTTACATTTCCTGTGAAAATGCAGCGTGAAAACATAATGCTGAAAGATTTTTCCTGAAAACTGCTGAAAAGCTGACCACAGGCTAGTTTTAGCTTTGTCAGCCATCATGCTAATTAGCTTTTAGCATATGGTGGGGATCAGTCTTGTCTACTATCACACCAATACATAACTCAATATCTTTAAAAGGGATTCAAAGGTGAAAGAACTGAATTAAGCACAAAACATGATTTTTTTTTATTTAAGTTTTCAAAACTGTTAATATTCAAATTATCACTTCAGTTGGGAACATGTATGATTAGTTAAGACTTGACAAGTTGCTTCATCTTGCCCCTTAAACAGTTTCTAAATTTTTTCTTCTTTTTTATGTAATGTTCAAGATAAATAAACTTTTCATTTTTTTTCTATTGTAAAAAAAATAATTTATGAGATTTCCAAGTACCAACTCATTATTTTCTCTCTATTTACAATTTACACACTCAACTGTTGGTAATTGTACAATTGAAAGAATAATTTTGGTGTTTTGCTCTCTGTGTGTGCAGGGATGAYGAGATTCGCAGCAAATGTGGCATCGATGCAGTCACATACCTGTCCTTTCAGCGCCACATTATACTGCTCATGACCATGGTGGCCCTGCTGTCTTTGGCTGTAATCCTCCCGATCAACTTTTCCGGGACTCTCCAGGGTATTTTTGGTCTTCACATTATAATTTTGAACAAAAAAAATGGAGGGTTTATTCTAAACCTCAAGAGACATCRGACTCTGAAAGGAGGAGGATAGGCCACACAGGCACCATCAGATGCTTTTATATGTTGGATTTTTGTGTAAACTCACAACATTATCTTTAAACAAAGCAGCTAACATTTCATGGGAGTTTTTTTTTTTTTTTGCGTACTTGTGATTAGTAAGGTTGTGAGAATAGAAAATGCTTCATTTGTTTCACATGGAGGTGTCAGGGGTTGGAGCACATAATCAGCTACAGAGGGGCCTTTTGCAGGAAGCCCTGAGCAGGCTGTTCCACAACAGGATGAAGACAGGAACTTTATGAGCTCTTTTTTTATTACTGCTGGTTTTCATCATACGGACCAGCGTGTCACCTCCTAGTTATTAAATGAACCAACACAGGCTGCCATAGAAACGCCAAACAAAGGTTCCTAAATTAAACCAGTGCAGTTAGGCATGTGTGAAATTCACAAATGAAGAAGACGAGGTTGCTTTAATTAAGCCTTGCCTAGCAGACAGAGGTGGAGGGGTTTTAGTCCTTTAAATCGCTGCAGGAGCTGAAATGTCTCACACTCCGTCATGTGTGATTATTTCTACAGGAGACAGTCCTCAAAACTTGGGGAGGACGACGCTGGCTAATGTTAGTGCAAAGTAAGTGGAACACGGCAGGCATGACATCAGAACTCATGAAACGAGCCAGAACCACAAATAAAATAAAACATTTTTTGTAAAATGGACTATCTGTAAACGCTGTTTGTTCTTTGAAGGGACAACTTTCTTTGGCTGCACAGCATTTTCGCTCTGCTTTACTTCATCATCACGCTGCTGTGTATGGCTCACCACTCCATGCAGCTGGAGGACAGAGGAGATGAAAAGGTCTGTCAGCGTCGTCTCGTACTCTTTAAAGGCGACATTTCATGCAAAATCCACTTCTTTAGTCATTAAATACATTTTGTTGTGTACTYGGAGTCTCTWGGAGTGCAGAAAAGTTTGATTTATTCTCTCCTGGTGCTGCGTAGATATYTTTATATTCGGTTTGAGTCATATTTATCAACCTATCCAGTTTTCTCTATTTTCWGTTGTTTTCTGAACTATTATAGTATTAGTTGGAACTTCTAAATAAGGTCTGAACTTACCAACTACAGTTTCATCATCTTCATTCTCCTCTGGCTCCAACATGTAAGGCTGGATGGACAAGTCTTCTGTTGACWTCTTTAATTAATTTWAAAAAGTTTCTGTGCTGCTATRTAGTCGTAAACCCCTCAACTAGAATGGAGGGCTCTAGAAGCTGGAGGTGGGCCGCGTGTGAAAAGAGGTGAAAGAGGGGCTTGTGGAGTTACARTAAGGAGGAATTCAGACCAAATCATTGCAGTTCCACTTTATATAGACACCGACTGAATGATTTAAATGTGAAAAATAAGGATCTATATGACTGTATATGTCTCCTTCAAATAGTTTCAAAAACGYCTTTATATTACAAACATTAAATATGAGAAAAAATTTAATCGAGTATGCTTCCTAAAAATTTGAACTTTGCAAGTTACAATGCATATTACCTGCCAACTTTCAAACTAAATCTTGTGATGAAGCCGTTTTGTTCTCACAAAACATCAAACATCGCATACTTCATTTTAGTACTTAGAGTTTATGTCGTAAAAAACTCACAGCTACTACCATATAAAATTTTAGCTTTATATCTATAAAATTGACTGAGCTGTAGCCATTTTTGAGTTTTCTAAAGTCAGTACACTGTGGCGGCCATCTTGATTTGGATTGACTCCAAAAGTTAATGAGTTGTATAGGTATATCCTGCAATTACTTTCTGGAAGTTTCATTACAATCCGCCCAGTGGTCTATAAGGTATTTTGCTAACAGACACAAACATTTCACCTTTTAGAGGAGGTCGATAATAAGTTAACAGATTGCTAACTTGTTGAACGTGTTTCCAGATATCCAGGACGCTGATGATCACCTCCATCCCCAGGGAGATCTCTGACCCGGGACTCGTCACCAAACACTTCCAGTACTCATCTTTTCCTCACTAATTTATTGTTAAGTCAAGTTAAATCCTTTTAACCCGCTGCTTCTCAGGGAGCTCATTTATTCGCCCACAGCTTCAGCTAAACCCTAATCAAATGGTGTTTCTCCATCCACCAGTGAGGCTTACCCCAGCTGCACCGTCACCGACATCCGCTTCTGCTTCGACGTTCACAAGCTGATGAAGCTGGACCTGGAGCGGTACGATGAGTGGTCCCAGGCTGGGTTAGCAGGGTTTGGGGTCTTCCAGCTCTTTTCTAAAGGATGGTGTTTTGTTTTGTTTTTTTGTTTTGTTTTGTTTTGTTTTTTGTTTTTCAGGCGCAAAGCAATGAAAGGCAGATTGTATTTTGCTACAAAGGCCCAGAAGGAGGGGAAGGTGATGATCACCACCCATCCGTGCTCTCAGATCTTCTGCTGTGACGTATGTGGCTTTGAGAAGGTGAGCTTTATTATTACCACACACACACAAACACACACACACACACACACACACAACATAATGGTGCCAAACTGCACAAGAGCGGCTTTACCACTGGATGGCACTGCAATGCAAAAGTAAAAGACATTGCAGCATCCTTGTTCAAATGTAGATTATGAAAGATGAGAGTTAAGTGAACTCTGGACGTTTCTGCAGGTGGATGCAGAACAGTATTACAGCGAGCTGGAGGAGAAGCGCACGGACGAGTTCAACGCGGAGAAGAACTACATCTCCACCAAGAGGCTGGGCATCGCCTTCGTGACTTTTCGAGACGAGAGGATGACAGCCGTGTGAGTAAACTGAACTTGAGCGCTTCGGCGTTTAATGCGTGACGCCGTTTTACCGCCGCCTTCCGTTCCCCAGCATCGTCAAAGACTACAGTCGCGTGCGCTGCGGTCGCAGACCCCAGCAGTCCAGCGTCACCACCGTCGTGCAGTCGCACAAATGGGGCATCAGCTACGCACCTGCTCCCAGTGACATCATCTGGTGAGTACCAGTAAATAAACTGGATCTCATTTTTCTGTAAAACCCTGCCTGCGGGCAATGAGTATTGTTGGCTCAAAGTTTGTTTGAMGTTGTTTGACTTCCTGTGCATCACTCAAACCAAAATATGGCTCTCAGCAGAGTCCTTGAGGTGTAGGTGCAAAGCTGAGTCTTGGAGAAGTTTGGTTTCTCCTCAGGATAGCTTTATCCTGTTAGGTTTGAAATGCATCGGGCATTATGTAGTTTATTCATTTCATTTCATTTAAAAAAAAAACACATTACATACAACAAAACAATGCAAATTAAATAAAATGAAAGGCAGCAGCAGAAGAAAAATATCTTATATCTGCTCCTATTTACCAAAAAAATTATATTAATTTCAAACAATAATAAACCAGATAAAACAAAAATTCAACTCCTCAAACAGTAACTCATACAAATACAAATTAAACAATTTCATATTTCTTTAACGATTTTACTTTGATCATTTTTTGAAGGAATTAATTGATCCAATGCTTTTATGATCATTTTCCAGATTATTCTATAGTCTTATACCTTTCACTGAAGTGCATCTGTCCTTCAAATTTGTTCAGATTTTTGCTTAACAAACATTTGTAGTCCCTTCAAATTATAGCAGCTTTCCCTTTTAATAAAATTAGATTGGACGTTTGACAGTAACACCTTTTTATTAGCTTTATACATTACCTGCAGAACATGATATTCAACCAACTCATAAAATTTTAATAATTTTAATTGATGAAACAATATATTAGATGGGCGATAGTAATGTTTTCTTGTGATAATTCTTATGGCTCTTTTTTGTAAAATAAAAATAGGGTTAGTTTGGAGAAAATCCTTCAAATCCTCCAGCAGCACATGGGATGACAGTGTTTTTCCACAAAGGCCCACAGGTTTGTGTTTCTGTTCCATCCCTTCTGACCCCGTGAGGACATGATGGTGTAGAGTTCTAATGACAAAGTTTTTGCTCCAGTGGGTGGTGGGAGTCAAACAGTCAGTCAGTTGGTTTTCTGTAAACCTCAATGCTTAGGCTTCCGTTTCGCAGACGGTCCAAGAAAAGGCAGCTTGTTGTCGTTAGCATCCTCTCCAGTGAATTTGTTGTTGTTGACCTAGMTGATTGTCACATGAGATCGTGCATAATGTTGAAAGATCATGAGAGTCCAAACTATGCGCAGGGGATCAMATCCATTGTCAGACTTGAATGTTTATTCAAAGACATGCAGAGTTTGACCACACGTAACTCAGATGTGATGTTTTCGGTCTAAAACTCTGGTATAAGGCAGCAGGTGATGTGCATTCCTTTAATGAATGCTAGGCCCTTTAGCTGCAAAGTTTTGCACATTAACAGCGTCCYATTATTCCAGAAAAAAAAGTGAGAAGTTTGCATCTTTCTGCTTTGTGCTTGGTCATGATGATCTGTAAACTATTTCCAGCACGCACTGCGTAAATAATCCATGACGGAAGCTCTAACATTCACATCCACAGAACAACAAACAGATAAACCTGAGGWTTCACGTCTTCTAACTGTGGGAGGATAGCGGAGCACCTCCCAAAATACACAAATTTTGAGAGAAATATCTAGTTTTGCACGACTCACATCAGACACATCACCTCATTATTAGAGTTGACATTTTTGAATTATTTAGAAGCCACATGCAAATGATTAACCTTTTCATTAGTGTCCCTACTTTTTACTCTTGTTAAGACATTTAGCCTTTTGTTGCTGATGTAGGGACAGTTAATGCTCATTATATGTATTTCTGCATGAAGTGGATTACAGTAACGGTCTTTTTAGACTGAGCTGTTGACATTGTTCAGTAGTGAGGAGCTAAATGTTAACAGTGCTGRCTGATTATTCCCCCCGTCCCCAGGGAGAACCTGTCGGTGTGCGGGTCCCGCTGGTGGCTCCGCTGTGTCCTCCTCAACCTCCTCCTCTTCCTGCTGCTCTTCTTCTTCACCACTCCCGCCATCATCGTCAACACCATGGACAAGTTCAAYGTCACGCGGCCCGTGGACAGTTTGAAGGTTAGAGTTTCAGAACTTTATTTATTTTATTTTAGAGTTAAGAGTTTCAAACATGATTTTGTTTCTTTGCAGAGCCCGGTTGTTACCCAGTTCTTCCCAACTCTCCTGCTGTGGGCGTTTTCRGTTCTGCTTCCTTTCATAGTTTATTACTCTGCTTTCTTTGAGTCCCACTGGACCAGGTACTCACCTCACCACTCTCCTCAACCTTCCAAAATGCCGTGTTTGTGTTCCTGTCTGTTAACAGCAAAATTCATGAACCGCTGGACTAATTTTAATAAAACTTACAGAAAGTAATCATTTGATGTGTGTCTACAACTGATTAACTTTTGAAGTCAGCTTGAATCAAGATAGCAACCACAACCAACTGATATTAAAAAACACAAAAACAACTATAACTTAACAAATTTTACAAATATCAACATAAAATTTGGGCTGGTTGTGCCGGGGGTGGGGGGACTAGTGGTCTGTCATGGCAGCCTACATACCCTTTTACAAAAAGTTGTGGATAGAAAAGAGCAGGGGTTCTCAATCATTTTGAGTCTGGGGACCCCTTACAAGGGCAAAAACATTCCAGGGACCCCCTCATAAACCCCATGCTGTTTTAAAAGATAATTTACTGTCATTTGAACCCCTAAATGCCATGGAAATATATATTTTTATTTTTATTTTTATTAGTTCATTGTTCTCCATGCATTTTTCAAAATAAAAAACAAATTAACAATTTARTGAAACTTTTTGAGGACCCCCAAGATACCTCTCACGGTCCCCTGGGGGTCCTGGGACCCCAGTTTGAGAACCTCTGGAGTACAAATAACCTTTATTGACCCACAAAGGGAAAATTAATGTGTAACAGAAGCATCAGATATATAGGTGCACACAAAAAGATCCAAAAGTATTAAAAACGTATAAAAAACAAGATTAACAATTACAAAAATAATAGTAATAATAATAATATACTGTACAAGATTATAACAAAACTGTGCAGTTATTAGAATAGAAATATACTTAAAACACTATTTTCAAGGTTTCGCTACAATTAAACTCCATTTCTGAACAAAAACTGATTTTAGTTTAAAAGATGAAAGGCAGCATTCCTTTAAAGAAACTTTTAATTTATTTTTTTTCACCCTGACTATTATTTTAGCTCCTTCTTGTTACACTGATGCTCTTTTTTTTACTCCCTCCCTCCCTCCCTCCCTCCTCTTCTCTGTCACTCTCCCTGCACCATTATATTCTGGGCAGGTTGTCATAGAGACCTTCATGGGAGAATAATTAGATGCACTGTAGCCACCGTGCGCCGTTTCTCTGCACATGGCGACTGGCAGGAGAAAACCTCGCCTATAGGTGCCCTCTCTTTACATAACCACCCCCACAAATGTTTTGTGTGCTGGCGTTCAGCGTGTGAAGGAGCGAATGCAACTGTTCTGCCGGAGTGGAAACGGCAGTTCTCGAGAGTCCAACCAACAGAGTTTTAATATGTAGCATCAGCTAACGGCGCTTCAGTTGAACGTTTTGAGTGTTTTGTAGCTGATCGCAGATTCTTCTGTTGTTGCAGATCTGTTGAGAACCAAGTGACGATGCACAAGTGCTTCTTTCTGCTGGTGTTCATGGTCATCATCCTGCCTTCGCTTGGTCTGTCAAGGTACAACTTCTGCACGCACTCAGATGCMCACATTCTGACTTACTTTATTTAATTCTTATGATTCTCCCCTTTTTTTCATTTAAATGTTTTATTATCTTCAGCCTTGATCTTTTCTTCAACTGGCTCTTTGATGTCATCTTTATGGATGAGAAGGAGATCAGATTCCAGTAAGATTCAGTTTTTATTTGCAAGAACAAAGAGTTCCAAAACAACAGCTAAAACCTTTGTTTTTTTTTTTTTTGTTTTTTTTATTAAACAGGTGTGTATTTCTTCCCGAYAACGGTGCGTTTTTCGTGAACTACGTCATCACCTCCAGTCTGATCGGCACAGCCATGGAGCTGCTTCGGATCCCGGCGYTGAGCGTGTACGCCCTTCGCCTCTGCTTTGCAAAGTCCCAGGCTGAGCGGATCCACGTGAAAAGGGTTTGCAAATGTTTGCCGCTTTGATTCACGTTTTTGTGTTCTTCATTTCGCTCTAACTTAAAGACTTTTCAGAGGAAGTTTGAATGTCGAGTAACAATGTAAATAAAAGCAGAATGTGATGATTTGCAAACTTATAAACCAGATTCAGTATTTTAAAGAATTTGGGTTGTGTTAAAGCTCACTTGTGGGGTTTTTTTTGTTGTTGTTTTTTGTTTTCTGCAGAGCCAAGCTTACGAGTTCCAGTTTGGCCTGGAGTATGCCTGGACCATGTGTATCTTTGCTGTCAGTATGACCTACAGCATCACGTGTCCCATCATTACGCCCTTTGGTGAGGGACACGCAATTACCCTCCTGTGTGATTGTATGACCCTGGTTTCTCCAGTGTTTCCCTCTCAGTGGTGTGTGTGCGTGCTGTCCCCCTTCATATTGTAACCCCCACCCACACACACACACACACACACACCCCACCAGTCCAGTGCAGGCTGTGTGAATATGTTGCTGTAGTCTCAGACACTGTGAGCTGTGAGCCAGACGCCCACTCTGCTCCTGTCTCTGCCCAAAGCTCATCAAGTCTCTGTTTACTTCTGCAGGCTGATGGGCCCTCTGAGCTACACACACACACACACACACACACACACACACACACA